GTCCTTGCTCAAAACGAACTGAAACTGTCTTCCTGATTTCTGCATAAGATGATGCACTCTCTGCTCATCCAATGTTTATTCCAGCCTGTGACGGACCAGGCTGCTTGCGACGCTGCAGATGAGATGGGGAACACAGGTCTCTGTGCACTGCGCGCTGACTTCCCAGTGGGGAAAGGCAAATAAAGAGCTTCCTAAGTAAGCGCTAACTTGTAGATTGTAGAAGGGCTCTACGAGATTGGGCTCGCATTTAGATATATACTGGGCTGGAGGAAGATAGAAGGGCTTGCAGGTACCCACACCTGACAGCTCTGCAGGGGAACCATGCTATACAGAGCGGATATTGGTCTTCAGGAAGAGGAAAGTGGGTTCTAGTGAGAAGGGTCAGCTTGTCCAGGGGGTTGGCAGGAAAGATTTAGCTAGTGAGGGTTCCGTACCATGAGGCCAGTGAAGTAAGACAACATGGTGGGGGTGCCAGCAGTAATTGAGCAGGACTTATTGTAGTCAGGAATTTGGCTCATCTTTACAGAATTTTAGCTGAATGTTTGCTAGGTAAACCACAAACATATAATTATATTTGAAAGTCAGGTAATCGGTGAATAATTTCTTAGGGTAAGTATGTCCCAAACACACACAAGACACAGCTACAGAAAATATGTTTACTATATACTTATATTGAACTTTTATTCAATATTTAAAGTTCAAATTTGACTGGGCTACTTGGTTTTTGTTTGTTTTTGTTAAGTCTGGCAACTGCTAATTAAGAGGGCACTGAAAGGTTTCCATTGGCAAGCAACTTGGCCAGTTTGCATTTTAAGATCCCTTGGGTGAGTTTGTGGAGAATGGTTAGCGGGAGTCAGCTGGAGGCTGAAGTTCAGGAAAGCAAGGTGGGCTCGAGGGAATGCAAGGGTGGTTCAGTGGAGGTGGTGGGTTGGATTGGGGTGATCAGCGCCTTGCAGGGCTCGAAGTGAGAAGGGCCCATCTAGGAAGTTGCTGTCGGGAGCTCTGGTGTGGCTCCCGAGATTCTCAATTTCTAATAAGCTCCTAGGTGGTCTAACAGAACCTAGGTGTTGCTGACCTCGAGCCAGCAAGCTCTTAAAAATAACTGGGGTCCCAGGACCACTAGGGCTCCATTCCTGTTTATGTGAACAAAGTTGTATCGGAACCACATCGCCACTAGTTGCTCTCATGATACAACAGGGACTGTTAGTCCACGCTGTCTAAAATATTTTTATTTAGCTCTTTATAGAAAAATTTGCCTGCCTGAACTATACTTTGAGTAGTAAGGGTCACGACTTGGAAGACAGCCATGAAGGTAAAATGCAGATAAACACCCAGGCTAGCTGAAGATGTGATGGTGGGGGGGGATGGTATGCCATGGCTCACCTAGCCTTTCCCACTGCCCCTGAAGTTTAGTCTTTAAAATCAAGTGAGTCTGTCAGTTGCCGAGTACCTAGTATTGTTGATTTACTTTAGAAGTTCTTGGCCCAAGGGATTCTACTTGGCACCTGTTTAAATGTATAGAAATGTTTTTTTCATAAACAGGAGGTTATAGATATAACTAGATAGCATCAGGTAGCCCGAAAGAAACGGTCCTGTCAGCAGGAAGCTGATGTTGACTCCCGCTTCTATGCACTCTTGGCTAGTTGTCCACTTTCTCTTGATTTGTGCCTGCTTTCAGCAGGAGACACCAAAGCCAAGACCGGCACTGTCTAATGCCTACTGCACCGCAACCCCCACCGCTAGCACTCAGAGGGCACACCTATGCCTGTTTATGAGGGAAATCACTTAAGAACAAAATGGGAAAGGAGGAGGAAGGAAGCCCAAACAAAATCTTTGGGTTCTCATTTAATGGTCCTCTCAGCAAAAGCACAGACAAGTGCAGACAGTGTAGCGGTAACTGTATGGAAAGAACTAAGCTAAATGGCTTAACATACCCTTGCAGGTTGTTGAATGCTATGGATTTCAGGAAATTGCTTCTCAGGAGTAGCTTCTCCGGGCCTTCCTGCTGCAGCGTAGCGACGCCAGATGCCCAGCAATGGGCTAATGCTAACAAGTTCACTGCAGTTGCCACCGGACAAAATTTACTGCTCCTGGAACCCACAAAGCTGTCTTCCCAGGAAGAGGAAGCTGCTTTCTAGTCAGGGTCCAGGCAGCTCAGTAGCGGTCCAAATATTATGATACATACTTTTATTATATGCGGCTGTTGTTCTGCTTTTCCCCATCTGGGGAATTGTGTAACGGTAACAGCTGCCAAGGATGAGAGATTAAAGTGTGTGAAATAGACTGACCGGTCTACTTAGAGAGGTGAAGTTGTTTTGTTTTTGTTTATTTGGTGTGTGCGGGGTGGGGGTGGGGTCAGGCTAGATCATGATAGTCGAAGAGAAACCAATGCTACACTTCCTAGTTGCTTTCACCCCCAGTGACTCTGTGTTCCAAATCACTCCAAGATCATCTGCTTAGGAAGCTGCCCTCCTCCAAATCCCAGAATTCAGATTAGAACCCAAATAGTCCTTTCACAACATAATTAGTCAAGGACAAGTTTAGAACTCTAAATTAAACTATGTTTTTGCTTCGCCACCCATCTACTGAAATTTAGTAGGTTTTATTCTTTGTGTGGGGATGTGGGATGGGGTGGGGGTGGTAACACTTCAAAAAATGGCTAAAAACTGTACTCTCAAGAAGCGCAACAGCATGCTGTACGATTCAATGAACCTGTTTAAACGTCTCACCACAGTGTTTGCTGCAAAGCGACAGACAGAAATCCCAAAAGAGAAAGCTTCTTTGGGGGTAGAGGTGCCTCTGAGGTTAGTAGAAAGAAGGCCATCAGGGCCCAGGGTTTTGCTGTCTGAAATAAGACTGCAATTGGAAGCTCTGAGGATTTGGCCTGCAGCGCGCCCTACACACTGGCTGTGTTTGGGACAGGAGACATTATTAAAGGGTTTCACACGTCTATTTGCATGAATTAGCAAACCCGGGAGAGCTGCTGAAATGCATTTGAAGCTCTGACCTGACATGAAGGTCACATAGACATCCCCAGAAGTGCACGACTACAGAGAAGTTACATTAACAAACCTTTCCAGTCAGTGTTGAGAGATCCTCGCCTCCTATGATCTGCAGCTCGCCCATGGACTGGTCATTCTGCAGAAATCGGGGAGCGGGGAGAAAAGGAAGACAATGACTTTCGTGCACAGGAAAACTTGAAAAGCACATTTTCCCATCTTCTTGGTTAACGGCTAGATTGTGCCTTGCAAATACAGTGCACATAGCTAGCGCACATAGCTAGCAAGGGCTCACGGTTGCCTATGGTTACCAAGAGCCACTTTCCTGCAGGCTCTTGAGACAAAGCCAGCTAATGACTGGCTGGTGGGGAAAGACTGGAGAGGGGGATGGACGGCTGGAGGGAGGATAGACAAACTTAATAAACCATAGATAGTACTGTCCTGGGGCAGACAAGTAGAAACAGACATCACTTGTGGGCTTTTCTGAGGTGAGGCTTGGGAGCTTCAGGAACGACTTCTAATAAACCCTAGCTATGGATTGCAGTGGGGAACAATCCGATTCTGATTTCACAGGAAATGGAGCCCTCATCTGTTCTCTTTCCTTGGAAATTCAGCCCCTCATCTGATGACAAGAGCAATGGTAACAGACCGTGTGGTCAAGAAAGACTTGATCTTCTGACATAAGTGATCAAGCCTTAGGACCCGTCTGTAGCTCCAAGAATATGAGAACCAGGGAGATTTTTTTTTTAATTTAAATCTTCTAAGCATGAGTTTATCATTCATTGTTTACAATGTTTAAATATCGAACATTCCTGTGTCCTAAGAAAACTTCAAAAAAGCAAGCAAGTACACAAACAAGCCAGCAAATACTTGCTTTTTATTTTTAAGTATACACAACACGAATCACTTGGGGAAGAATTAAAGTGGAACTTGTTCTTTGCTTCTGCCTCTGCCTTGTGACAGATGCACATCAGAGGAACTGAAGCAGACAGACTCAACCAATCCGCTGCATGACTGAAGCAAGACTGTGGTGCTGTTGCAATGCCTTGATGGAAAATGATAAACTTGAGAAGACAATTGTATGTATGCCGTTCTGTGCCACAGCAGATGTCCTCAGTTGCTGATGCAGACAGCTATTCCGTTTGGTAGTCTAGCAGTCTTTCCTGTCTTGACAAGGACTTGCCTCATTTTGGAAGAGTCCATCCCATAGGGTCAGGCAGGGCCAGCCTTAGTGGCAGAGAGAGATCCGTTCTGCTGGAGGCTACAGTCAGCCTTAGAGTTTACGGTCTCTCAAGCCTGATGGAGGAAGGTCATTTAACAATAAAGAAACTGCTTGGCTGGCCCTGATAGGTTAGAACATAGGTGGGAGGAGTAAACAGAATAGAATTCTGGGCAGAAGAGGAAGTGAGGTCAGACTCTGCTCAGCTTCTGGAGAGACCCGACGGCTCTGCTCTCTGGAGCAGAGACGCCAGGCTCCGCTCTCCCAGGCAGCTCCGACCCAGGATGGACGGAGGCTAGAATCTTCCCGGTAAGCACACCTTGGGGTGCTTACACACATCATTAGAAATGGGCTAGTCCAGGTGGGAGAATTAGCCTGTAAGGGCTAGAGTTCATGGGCCAAGCAGTGTTTTAATGAATACAGTTTGTGTGTTGTTATTTCGGGCATGAGCTAGCCAAGCGGCTGGGGTGTTGGGGACGCAGCCCCGCCGCTCCTATTTCAACAGATGGCTGCCCAACGTGAGGATAACTGAATCCACAAAAAGCCTGAGAAAGCTTGGGAAAGAATGGAGTGAAGCATGTTTTCTTGGTAGCAGAAATTTCTCGAGTCTACTCTGCTTGCTAGAGGCAAGCAAGCGCTCTCATCTAAGAGAGGCTTCCTGACTCAGCTTCAGCTGCAAAACCCTGCAGCTCATTAAGAGGTCCTGCCATGAAACACTTAAATGGTGTTGATGAAAAGCTGAACGCATGCTTTTTGGTTTTCAGCCATAGCAGGAAAAAAGCTGTGCTATTTAAAAATGCTGGCTTTCTGGGCCGTCCTGCCAGGGCAAACTCTGACTGAGGCAGGAGGGCCGACTACCGAGAGAGGACTTGAGTGTTGTCTGTTGTAGCTCACTTGCTGGCAGGGACCTCGAAATGCCATAGAGTTGTGGCAGTAAACAAGACTACAACCAGTACCTCAGCCATGAGGCTGGAAAGCTAAGGAATGGACTGGATCTAGCTGGCAAAGCCACGGCTTTAATCCTACTCATATTGCTCAGTAATTTAAAGGCTCGTGTGGTCAGAAAAAGAGAGATATACAGTAAAGAGATTCAAAGATAAAGAAAATGTTTAAATGATTTACAGTGTGTTAAAAATATATGCAAGCTAAAAGTTAAAAGTTTTTAAAAAAAAAGTAAGAAAAAGAGAAGTTGTGTGTGGTAGTACACGCCTTTAATCCCAACACTTGGGAGGCAGAGGGAGATTGACCTCTGTGACTTCAAGGTGTGGTAGCACACGCCTTTAATCCCAGTGCCTAGAAGGCAGAGACAAACAGATCTCTGTGAGTTCAAGGTGTGGTAGCAAACACCTTTAATCCCAATGCCTGGGAGGCAGAGACAGGCGGATCTCTGAGAGTTCAAGGAGAGCCTGGTCTACAGAGTTATTCCAGGTCAAAGAGATACAGAGAATATAAAATAAAAGTAAAAATAAACGAAATAGAGGTTAAAATAAAGCGTACAAAGATGGAAAATACACAGAGAATCTTGATACTGTATACTATTATGCTCTCTTTGAATTGTTTGAATGCTGAGGAAGGAGCAACAGATGCTAAAAGATATTTGTTTATAAATGCTGCTGAACTAATCCATCGTAGAGATTTTGATGCCTTGACTTTGAAATTTGGATCTAAGGACATGATACTTTGGAAAGGAGTTTCTTATTTTGTTTTCACAGAGGATGAGACCCTGTTCATTTCTTCTATTCCGATATGGTATGATGGACCACGCCCTCCTGAACGGTTGCTGTGAATACCTTCAGAAAATTGCTTCGCTCAACTGCCAACTGAGATGAAACTAGCACACAGGTTATACCATGAAAGACCTAATTAACGACGCCCCCATTCAGCAGGAAGCAGTTTGGAGAGAAAAAACTGCGCCCATGTTCCCAAATATGGTTTATAAATGTTCTTTTACATTTAAAGGGGGAGATGATATAGGTATGAATAATTTACATTGATATGGATTTTGCTTTAGTGATTTAAATTTAAGGTTAATTTTGTAATGTATATAGGTTGTTAATGAATAATCATTAATAATAGTTAAGTTTGTAGTCATGTTAGTTAAGATTTTCTAGATGTGCATAGATATATTTTAGATAGGCATTCTTCATATTTTTCAAAGATTATAGAATATGGCATTTTAAATGTTTTAATAACTTAGGACTTTTCATGACAATGAGACACTCTGCTCCTGGCAGCACCAATCTACTTCAAGAGGAAGATGGGCATCGAAGAGGATCCTTATGGAGTTTGATAGCCATTTGGGCAAGAAACTGCTCTTGCCTGGACTATTGCATAAACTGGACACAAAGAACCCACACAGAGAGGACTACTGAACTTGCCTAAAGGTGAGATGACCTTTTGGGGTTCCTGATTCATGAAAGAGTCTGCAAGACATTCTTCAGGACAAGCAGATAGTGACTGCCTTTGAAATTTCCTGCTTTGTGGAAATGTCTGCTGGAAACTATGGGCCTGTAGGCTGAAGATGGATGCCCCAATGGTACAGAGGAACTTTGGGTGACAGGCAGCGAGATGTCTCTGTCATTTATAGAGCTTTGGATTTCTTGTTTGCTTAGGTAATATTGTATCTTTCTGGACTCTTTGATGGAGTTAAGAATAGCTAGTTATAGTTATAGTTTTCCTTAGTTATGATATAGATTATTATAATTTTTACTTAATAACTGTTTTGTTATATGTAATTTTGCTATGTTAGGTTAAAGCCTTCCTTTTTTTTGTTTAAACAGAAAAAGGGGAAATGATGGAGGAAGGTCAATGAACAATAAAGAAACTGCTTGGCTGGCCCTGATAGGTTAGAACATAGGTGGGAGGAGTAAACAGAATAGAATTCTGGGCAGAAGAGGAAGTTAGGTCAGACTCTGCTCAGCTTCCGGAGAGACCTGACGGTTCTGCTCTCTGGAGCAGAGACGCCATGCTCAGCTCTCCCAGGTAGACTTGACAGCTCTGCTCTCTGGAGCAGAGACGCCAGGCTCCGCTCTCCCAGGCAGCTCCGACCCAGGATGGACAGAGGCTAGAATCTTCCCGGTAAGCACACCTTGGGGTGCTTACACACATCATTAGAAATGGGCTAGTCCAGGTAGGAGAATTAGCCTGTAAGGGCTAGAGTTCATGGGCCAAGTGGTGTTTAAATGAATACAGTTTGTGTGTTGTTATTTCGGGCATGAGCTAGCCAAGCAGCCGGGGTGTTGGGGATGCAGCCCCGCCGCTCCTATTTCAACACAAGCCACTTTCTGGAGGAATTTTCTTGAGCTGGCTTGAGTTGGATTCTGCTGCCTACAGGCAGCAATTTCTGTCAGTATATAGAGTCACTTTGTCAGGGAATTGGTTGCTTGGGAAAGGGAGAAATAACCCAAACACAAGAATGACAATTGTGCCAGTGAAGAACCTTTGTGTGACCAAAAAGAGAGCTACATGGTGAGACCCTCTCTCTGAAGAACCAAAATAAACAGAAGTGTTGCTAAAGTGTTTCCCTTTGGTGCAGTGTTGGAGGAGCATCTGAAAGTAAGCCATTAAGTTAGATAACATTAGCAGTCTGACCCAGGAGAGAGAAGTCACTGAATACCCAGAATTCTAGGCTTTTTTGTATTGGCGGTCCAGTCATATTCACAAGGAGTGATCATAGTGGCTAGGAACTTGCAAAACAATACCAAAGGGGGCTGGAGAGTCAACTCAGCAGTGAATTGCTTTTGCAACACTCAAAGAGGACCCAATTTCTGTTCCCAGACCACCCATCCAGAGGCTCACACAAGCAGTTTCAGGCATCTGACACTCTATTGTGGCCTCCAGGGGTGCTTGAACTCGTGTAGCATACACAAACACATCCATACATAAACCAAAGTCTTTTTTTTTCTTATTTGTTTTTTTTTGTCTTTGTTTTTATTGAGCTATATATTTTTCTCTGCTCCCTTTCCTTCCTCTTCCCTCCCCTCCTATCCTCTCCCATGGTCCCCATGCTCCCAATTTACTCGGGGGATCTTGTCTTTTTCTACTTCCCATGTAGATTAGATCAATGTATGTCTCTCTTAGGGTCCTCTTTGTTGTCCAGGTTCTCTGGGATTGTTGACTGTAGGCTTTTTTTCCCCTTTATGTCTAAAAGTCACTTATGAGTTACTACATATGATATTTATCTTTCTGGGTCTAGGTTACCTCACTCAATATAATGTGTTCTAGATCCAACCATTTGCCTGCAAGTTTCAAGATGTCATTTTCTTTTCCTGCTCTGTAGTACTCCATTGTGTAAATGTACCTCATGTTCCTTATCCATTCTTCAGTTGAGGGGCATTTTAGGTTGTTTCCAGGTTCTGGCTATGACAAACAATGCTGCTATGAACATAGTTGAGCACATGTCCTTGTGGTATGATTGAGCATCCTTTGGGTATATACCCAAAAGTGGTATTTCTGGATCTTGAGGCAAGTTGTATCCTAATTTTCTGACAAATCACCATACTAAAATCCAAAGGGCCTGTACCAGTTTGCATTCCTACCAGCAATGCAGAAGTGTTCCCTTTATTCCACATCCTCTCCAGCATAAGTTGTCATCAGTGTTTTTGATCTTGGTCATTCTTACAGGTGTAAGATGGAATCTCAGAGTTGATTTGAATTTCTCTGATGACTAAGTATGTTGAGCATTTCCTTAAGTGTCTTTCATCCATTTTAGATTCCTCTGTTGAGAGCTCTCGGTTTTTAGGTCTGTACCCCATCTTTTTTTATTGGATTATTTGTTCTTTTGATGATCAATTTCTTGAGTTCTTTGTATAATTTGGAGATCAGCCCTCTGTTTGATGTGGGGTTTGTGAAGATATTTTCCCATTTTGTAGGCTGCCATCTTGTCTTGTTGACCATGTTCTTTGCTTTACAGAAGCTTCTGTAGCAGAGTCTTAAGTCAGGCATTGTGATATCTGCAGAAGTTCCTTTATTGTACAGGATTGTTTTGGCTATCCTGGGGTTTTTTTGGTTTACCATATAAAGTTGAGTCTGTGAATTTTGCTGGGATTTTGCTGGGAACTGCATTGCATCTGTAGTTTGTTTTTGTAAGACTGCCATTTTTACTATGTTAATTCTACCTGCCCAAGAGCATGGGAGATCTTTCCTTTTTCTGTTGTCTTCTTCAATTTCTTTCTTCAAAGATTTAACGTTCTTGTCAAACAGGTCTTCCACTTGTTTGGTTAGAGTTACTCCAAGATATTTTATCTTATTTGTGGCTATTGTGAAGGGTGATGTTTCTCTGATTTCTTTCTCAGTCCATTTATCATCTGCATACAGGAAGGCTACTGATTCTTTCGAGTTTATCTTGTATCCTACTACATTACTAAAGGTGTTTATGAGTTGTAGGAGTTCCTTGGTAGAATTTTTGGGGTTGCTTATGTAAGCTATCATATCATCAGCAAATAGTGAAAGTTTGACTTTTTCTTTTCCGATTTGTATCTCCTTGATCTCCTTTTGTTGGCTTATTGATATAGCTAGAACTTCAAGAACTATATTGAATAGATATGGAGAGAGTGAAACCTTGCCTTGTTCCTGATTTCAGTGAGATTGCTTTGAGTTTCTCTCTATTTAGTTTGGTGTTGGCTCTTGGCTTGCTGTATATTGCCTTTCTTATGTTTAAGTATGTTCCTTGTATCCCTGCTTCTCCAAGATTTTTATCATGAAGGGATGTTGGATTTTGTCGAAGGCTTTTTCAGCATCTAATGAGATGATCATGTGTTGTTTTTTTCCTTCAGTTTGTTTATATGGTGGATTACATTGACAGATTTTTGTATGTTGAACCATCCTTGCGTCTCTGGGATGAAACCAACTTGATCATGGTGGATGATCATTTTTCCAGTATAGTATTGAGTATTTTTGCATCAGTGTTCATGAAGGAGATTGGTCTCTAATTCTCTTTCTTGGCAATGTCTCTGTGTGGTTAAACCAAAATCCTAAGAAAATTTTAGAAAGTATCAAGGGAGAATGCTTTCTTATCACTCCAGAGATACAGGGTTCAACATGGGATGATCTGTATATTATAATCAGCTATGTTATAAACAAGAGAAACACAATGTCAGGCTGAGGATAATCATAGCTGCATGCAACCACAAACCACAAGGCACCACATGGTTAGTGAGATTTGGATTAATAGATCAGAGTACATTTTCAAATAATTCTGTTATTCCACCCAACTGTCGAATGTTTATCTCTATCTTATTGGCTTTATATTTGTTTGTTAAAAACACAATGACAACAACAACAAAACCCATGGGCCATCAGAAAACTAAACACTGTACTCAAAGTCACACAGAGTGCTGCCAAGCGAGTCTCACTTACAAAGACCTTTCTTAGTCCAAGTTTCTAAACATGTTTTTAATATTAGATTTGTCCTTAACCCATCTGGAAGTTATATCTTCCAAGTGTGTATATAGTCAATTATCCCAACACCCTTTACAAAATCATTATTTTCCCCTATGGTCTAGAAATGCCTGTTTTTAAAAGCATAACTTTTTTATCCTCATGTAAAAGGGTCAGTTTCTGTATTTCTCCAACCTAACATGTTGATTCTGGTATTAATTAGTCTGATATGCTCAAGTAATTAATTTGATTTCCCAATTAGTTATAAGTAGTAAATAATAAATTAGCTTTTCCTAATATTAAAATTTTATTCTTACAGTCACAGTTTTAAAGTATGTCTTAATATAAAATAGCGTCTTGTTTTTGTTTTTGTTTTTCCCCTTTTCCTGTTTCCTGTTTTGGCTGTTTTTGTTCTTGCTCTTTCTCTTTGGGTTGTTTTGAATTGATAGGTGTGGAACACTGGGTACAGAGAGTGGCACATGGTCAGCCTCTGGTCCATCAGACACATAGTTACTGTTTGAATGGCAAGCACCCCAACACCACCACATATTGCCAGCTTGGTCTCCAGCTTGGTGGTCCTGGGAGGTGGTAGAACCTAAAGAGGTGAAGTTGAGCAGACAGAGAATGTGTCACTGGGGGCTTGTCCTTGAAAGTGGTACTGGCACAATGACCCTTCCCCCCACTCTCTCTCATTTCCTGGTCACCAGGTCAGTGGCATTTGTTAGGATTCAGGCATTATGCTGGCCTGCCCTATCATCTGGCATTTGTTAGGATTCAGGCATTATGCTGGCCAGCCCAGGGTCTTAGTCTATAGGCAGGTGCAAAGGTCCCTTTAAGAGACAAACTCAGCCCACTCTCGTCTCTCTTCCTTTTTGCCATTAAATCTGAGGAGGCAGCTTTCTCTCTCCCTCTCATCTCGTTCCCATTTTTTTCTTCCTTTCTCATTCGCTTTATCTCAAACAAACTCCACACTGAAACTCTGTCTGCGTGGCGTATTCTGTCACTCCCCGCGGTCCTCGCCGGCCACGGGACGCACCAAGGACTCTCCCACTCCTGTTTAGACCAGCTTTGCTGTGTGCTCCCCCCATAACTGGCTGCCTCACCACAGGTCTAAAAGCAATGGAACCAACCAGCCAGTCCCGGACTGCACCCTCAGAA